TCTCTCTCTCTCTCTCTCTCTCTCTCTCTCTCTCTCTCTCTGGTTTTTCGAGACAGGGTTTCTCTGTGTAGCTTTGGAGTTTATCCTGGCACAGAAGCATTTTCTTAATTGTGGTTCTCTCCTCTCCAATGACTTGATCATGTGTCAAGGGACATGATCTAGCCAGCACACTTACCTTCACCGATGAAATTGAATGAGTCTTGTTTCCCATCTTCTTGTGAATGGCTAGGATCCAGTGAGGCCTGAGAAAGGCTAACTTCTGCTGATAACTGGTCAAGGCTTTGGTAACTTTTACTGAAAATAAGGATAAAAAAAAACTATTGAAATTTCTTCTCACTAAAGAGAGCATCTTGTGACAGTCCTGAATGGTTTATAATGCATTAAAAGTATAACTAATTTTCTCACAACATCTTCCCTAAAGTTTGCCTTTATCATGGTTTCTGTGTGATTTCTCTTACCTACTCTAGAAGCTTCTCAGTTTTGTTCATTGAAAAACAAAAAAGAATAATAATTTGTCAAGCAAATTAACATTATCAAGTTGATTGTCTATTCAGACACTTAAAATAGGAACTTCCAATCTAAGGAATACTACCAATAAAGAAACAAATGGTACCAGGCAGTGGTGTTGTACACCTTTAATCCCAACACTTGGGAGGTAGAGGTAGGTGGATCTCTGAGTTCCAGGCCAGCCTGGCCTACAGAGCAAGTTCCAGGACAGCCAGAGAAATGCTGTCTTGAAACAAACAAAACAAAACAAACAAAAAACCAAATGGCATAATTTAATAATGACCTATCATTTCAAGCACTTCAGTATTCTCCAGTGCCCTCTGACAGCTGCTATGCAATAAAACAATTATTGCAGTCTTCCAATTTAAAAGTTTAAATATGTTGACTAATAATTAGCTATTATATGAATATACCATCAAGACAATTAATCTCCTTCCCTCATCTGTTTGGTGTTTTAAGATCCTTTCGTATTAGGCTAATTACTTAGAGGGTATTTCAGTTAGAAATCAAAAGTCAATAAATGCTTATTATTAACCTTTCCTCAAATTTAGTTTTCAGGATAAGGCCAACAAAAAAAGATATATTCAGGTTTGGTGTCTTTTGTAGTTCAAGTAAAATCAGAATTGATCACTGTTTACCGACACAAGTGAACTAAGAAAAGGTTTTTCAAGCTGAATGTCTTTCATACGGTAGTTAGATCCTACATAAAATCCACAAATACATATTTTATAATAATATTTACAGGAAAGCACATTATGAATCAAATGATGTCTTTTTACAATTGTCATGAGTAGACCTGGTCAAAACACAAAGTGTTTTGAAAGCTGGGTATAGTGGCACACATCTTAATCTCAGCACTTGGGAGGCAGAGGCAAATGGATCTCTGTGCATTCAAGGCCAGTCTGGTCTACCTAGCAGGTTCCAGGCCACTCAGAACTACAGAGAGAGACCCTGTCTGAAGGAAAACATTTTGGATACTTAGTTCAGATGTTATCTTATGCTAGTTAGGACTCTTAACTAAAATGAGGAGGAAATAGAAAAGCATTCCTTTACTAAAAGTAGATTGTATATTAACAATAACTTGAACACAAATTACATTAATAATAACAACCAACACAATAACAACAACAAACGGCAGGAACTGATAAGTTTACTAAAAATAATAATTACTCTAAATTGGTTTTGTATTTACTTCCCATCAATCTTATTAAGAAAAATTTTTCTAGGCTGCCACAGTGATGGAATACATTTATTGGGAATGAAGAATGACATGGCAGGATGACTTTACGAGCTTACTTAGTACAATGTTCTCAATTTATTTTATTTTTAAAATTATTTATTTATTTATTTATTATGTAGACAGAGTTGTGTCTTGCCAGAGTTGCTTCCATGCCAGAAGAGGGTATCAGATCTCATTATTGAAGGTGTGAGCCACCATGTGGTTTCCGGGATTTCTGGGGTTTCAGGACCTCTGGAAGAGCAGTGTCAATGTCTTAACCTCTGAGCCATCTCTCTAGCCCTTTCTTAATTTATAATAAGATGACTTCTCAAACGCTTAGCATATAAAAGTCTTTAATGATAATTTTAAATTGGGAAACTTTTGATATAGCAGATAATACATCTATAATCTATATGCTATACAATAAAGTAGTACCCAATATTTATAAACATTTTGTACTTGCTAAAATACAGTGCTATACATTCAAATTAAATTTATATGACACATGCATTTATGAGTATATGTACACTATAAAATTTTATTTCATACTAAATAGTACCCTAGGAAGTTAGATTATTACTACCTCTATTTTGTTGAAAGAAAACAGGGTGCCATTTACAGTAAACACTCCTAGAAGTTTGGAACTAACGATTCCCCTAGCTTCTGTCATCTCCACTCCAGCCTCAGAAGAAGGGTCTGCCTTGCTATGTTATTAGAAGGTCTTCTCAAAGAGCAGTTTCATTTGCTGAAACAGCGCTGTATTGAATTATTCTGTCCCCATAAATTTCACTTGGCTTTCATTAAAGTCATATTTTGTTAGCTATAGAGGATGGTAAGAATGTTCACTACAGTTCACTACAGCTTGTTGTTTCGGTGCAGCTGACTCTTAAAATCCAGCCCCAACCTATGCTTGAGGTTACAGATAGGAGCAACTACTGTGGAATATTCCTTTACACTGTGTGAAGATGAGTCACTGTGAATGGTTTAATAAAAGCTGAGAGGCCAATAGGTAGTCAGGATTTCTAGGCATAGAGGACACTGGGAAGAAGGGTGGACACACCAGGAGACACAGAGCAAACAGGATGGGCACTCTGGAGATGGGGTAATAACGTCATGAAGCAGAAAGTAAATTAATAGAAATGGGTTGATTTAAGTTATAAGAGTCAGTTAGAAACAAGCCTAAGCTATTGGCTGACACAAGTCTCTGAGTCATGTTTTTGTGAGCTGGCAGCCAGCCCAAAGAAAACCCTGACTTACAGCAGCCATATCCAGCTTTTCAACATGGGTGCTGGGGATTCAAACTCAGGCCCTCATGCTTACACACCCAGCACTCTTATCCACTAAGCCTTCTTCCTGGTCTAGAACACAGGATTCTAAGGGAGAATTTTAAACATTTCTTCACAAATTATTTTCTTTGTTCAACACATAGAATTCTTGCTTTTAAATTGGTGGCTTAAGATGAGTTTTCGACATTTTTTTCATTATAAGAAATGTGTTACTGTTTTCAATTTAAAATTTATATGCAGAAACATTTAAAAACAAAAGATGGGAATTTATTGAATACCTTAACAGAGTTTGGCAGCACATATTTACAATAATCTCCAGGCCTGCTGCTTACTGGATAGAGGGAACTTTGAAAGAGGCCCTAAGAATAACAATGCTGGATGAGCTTCCCACAAAGCTGAAGTTCAGAGGTACTGATGTTGAAACTTTTTCTTTAATTTTTCTCAGTTAGTATCAACCCTTTAGTTTATAGTTTCTACTTAATCAAGGGAAAGGAAAGTAGAAACAGAATATGGAAACAATGATGCTTTAGAACAACAACAAGTATTTCATCCCAAAATTCAACCCTTTATTCATAAGACATTAATAGCAGAACTCTGCCTCCCTTATTGAAGACGAGTACAAACCCACTAGCAGGAAGGAGACTTCAGCTTCAGATGATGATGAATGGTGTTAGATTACATTATTCTTACCCAATTTCTTTTTTTTATTTTTTTTTGTTTTAATTAGAAAGAAGATTATTTTACATGTCAATCCTAGGTCCTTCTCCCTCCCCTCTTCCCCTGCCCCCCACAACACCCTACCTATCCCATACCCTTTCTGCTCCCCAAGGAGGGTGAGGCCTTCCATAGGGGGGGTCTTCAGAGTCTGTTGTATCCTTTGGGATAGGGCTTAGGCCCACCCCTATGTGTCTAGGCTCAGGGAGTATCCCTCCATGTGGGACAGGCTCCCAAAGTCCATTCCTATGCTAGGGATAAATACTGATCCACTACAAGAGGCCGTATAGATTTCCGAGGTCTCCTCACTGACACCCACATCCAGGGGGTCTGGATCAGTCCCATGCTGGTTTCCCAGCTGTCAGTCTGGGAACCAAAAGCTCTCCCTTGTTCACATCAGTTTCTGTGGGTTTCACCAGCCTGGTATGGACTCCTTTGCTCATCAATCCTCCTTCTCTACAATTGGATTTCAGTTCAGTTCAAGGTTTCGCTGTGCTTACCCAATTTCTAAAGACGCATCCTCATACACATTTGTAGGTTTGTAGTAAACTATCCATGGGAGTTCTGCTAAGTCTTGAGAATTCTAGATTCATTAACATCATGAGATTTAAATATATCCAGAGAGACACAAACCAATAATGTATTGATGCTTCTCGGAACAGAATTTTTAAAATATAAGTAGTTTAAGGGCATAAAAATGAGAACCCAAAGCAAAGAGAAGCACACCTTCTGCAACAAAAGAACTTGTAGTTTATTACATGTCATTAACAGTAATTTAAACCGGTAAGAATGGTGTCATATGTCATGGGCAGTCTTCTCTCAGTCAATAATTAGAAACATTGATACAGTTTTTGTTATACATTTGCTCAAAAGATGTTCTAAACTCAGTTATATATATTCTTGTTATCTGGTAGTCACTGAACAATACACCATGTGATGCACAAAGGGAGTGAGTACTATCTACAGGGACAAGAGGAATCATGGGCATGATTGATACAATCCACAGACCGAGAGAGGCTCTAGGGGGATGGACAGATCTCCCTGGGAAGGGGAAATAGGACAGATTATGTGGGTGGACTGTGGGCAGATGGGGATGGCAACAGGAGGGACCAGGTGGGGGAGCGAGGGACAGAGGTAGAGAGTACAGGGAGAGATGATTGGAATTGGGGGGCCTTTGGGGGAGATAATGGAAATTTAGTACAGTGGAAGCTCCCTGGAAACTATGAGGGTGACCCTGGTGAGGACTCCTAGTAATGGGGGTACAGAGCCTGAAGCAGCCATCTTATGTAACCAGGCAAGACGTCCAGGGGAGGGACCGGAATACCAACCCAGACACAAAAAGTTCAACCCACAATCTGTTCTGGCTGAAAGACGTGCTGGGGCAATGGTGGTACAGAGCTGATGAGAGTGGCCTTCCAATGACTGGTCTCACTTGAGGCCCACACCAGGAGAGGAAGCTCATGCCCCACACTGCCTGGATGACCAGGAACCAGAAGCTGGGTGCCCCCTACCCCTAACCTAGGATAAAACCAAACATGCCTGGTCAAAGGGGTGGGGGTCGGGGAATCAATGAAATGATCCTTAATGATGTTGTGTTATACTCATAGAAGAGTGCCTAGCCCAATCTCAGAGAGGCTTCTTCCAGCAATTGAAGGGAGCAGATGCACAGCCAAACCTTAGGCAGAGCTTGGGGAACCTCACAGAAGAGAGGGAGCCATTAGGGTGGAGGACACCACAAGAACATGGCCCACAGTCATCAACTAAGCAGGGCTCTTAGGGGGCTCACAGACTGAAGTGACAATCACAGAGCCTGCATGGGTCTATGCTAGGTCTTTTGTATATGCTGTGGTTGTTTAGTTTAGTGAGTTAGTTTGTTTTTTGAGACAGTATTTCTCTGTGTAGTCCTGCCTATCCTGGAACTCACTCTGTAGACCACATTGGCCTTGAGCTCACAGAGATCCACCTGCCTCTGCCTCCCAAGTGCTGGGAATAAAGACATGCACCACTACTGCTCAGCTTAACTTGGGGTTTTGTGGGACTTCTAACAGTGGGGGGATGAATGTCTCTAACTCTTTTGCCTGCTCTGGGTTGCCTCATCCACCCTTGATAATGAGTTTAAGTGCCATTAGACTGTGTTCAGGTGATGTCCCTGAAAAGCCAGCTCTTTTCAGAAGGGAAACAGAGAAACAGTGGCCATGGGGGAGATGGGAGGTGGGGTGGGGCTGGGAGGAATGGAGGGATGGGAAGCTGTGGACAGGACATATTTTATGAGAGAAGAATGAAGAAAAAATCATGTGCGTGATATTCACAGGCATGTGTATGCACACGAATACAGAAAAGCTATCTTTAATTCTTGTTTTTCATAGGGGTATGTTTAAATAATCAAACTGCTGGGGGAGGGGGAGACAAGACTCAGCAGTTAAGAGCGTTCCTTGGTCTTCTAGAGGACTCAGGTTCAATTCCCAGCACCCACATGGCTTCTCACAGCTGTAAGTCCAGTTACTGGGGGTCTGGCACCCTCACACAGACACATGCACACAATGCACACAAAAGGCACCATCACTTCTTTTGCTTTCTGCAAACTGTAGTGTATTCAAATGGAAACCTAACTCAGGCCTAAATTTTAGTAACAACAAGCCAAGTTTCAGCCAACCTCAGAGGGCCAACTTGTCACATCACTCCCAAACAAGACCAATGCCTCCTTCCTCCACGTTCAAGGGAGGGTCATACTTAAACAGAACCAATCAGATGCTATTTCTACTTTGCTTTCTGCTCTCTTTATAAAAGCCACTGCTGGGCTGCTGGGTGGGTGGGTGTTCTCTGAACCTGTCAGTGCTGCCTCATTCACTAATTTGCTGGGAGCTCAAATAAGGGCTGTTAAGCCCAACTCGTCCCAAGCTCACTTCTGACATTTTCTTCTTGAATACATCTTAGGCTAGTTGTTAGAATAATCTCCCAGAGCTTTAGGCATTGTACATCCTTTGCAGAAGCTTATTAACACCAAACTACTTAACGGTAAGGCCATCTGTCAAGAGAGCTGACAGTCTTTATTAAAAGAGACCTCACCATTCCCTCCATAATTTTTAGGCACTCATAAATGATGGAAAGGTCTGCTTAGTTTTAAACATTTATAGAAGGCTCCCTATATTGAAAATCCAGACCTTCACCTTTAAATGAAGTAATTGAAATTACATACTCAGAACTATTAAGGATAAATCAATTTTCTGTAAGATTCAGAATGTGAGATATGGAAGATTAATGAAGAAAAGATCATGTCAACTATTAATACTAACTGAGACGTTATTAAGTTTCAGATGGTGCACCTGACTGTTAGACAGGCCTTACTTTCAGGATTATATATACAGAAAGGGAAAGGAAGGACAGAAGCATCATTCGGTATCACAAAGTAATCACTTAGCAGTGGTTACTGACAATCTCTGAGTCCAAACTCCAGGTCCAGACTCCAGTGTACTACACTGCACTTAACACTTTTTGCTGAGGGATAGCAGGGTCATCTACAAATAGTATGAACATAATGAGGACAAGTTAAGTTAACAGGATACTACTAGAAAAGGGTACTTTCCTTCCTCAGCTACTGTTGTGAGTCAGCAAACTAAATGCTGACTAGATAGGCTGGACCCCTGCCTTTATTTCAAGACTGCAATCACTTCTTCATTTTAAGGCTGCTGTGATACTGCTTTTGTAAATACGTTACTGTTACACAAGAAGATGTAAACTAGTCATAAACATCCCACTTGTCATTCTTTATTTTAAACCTTTATTTATTACTACTATTGTATTGTGTGAGTTTGGGTTCATGGCTGAGCCAGGCCCACTCTGGGTTCTTTATTGACCTAACAACGGGTAACATGTGAACAGGTAGAAGCGCATATCTCATGTCAAAAATTTCTCACCTTTTTACAGTGATGTGGATATTGCAAAGGAAGTCTTATTTAGTAGCTTTAATGCCATGCCAAGTGTGTCTGCATGTTCACATTTATATGTGTAGGTGTCAGTACACATGGGTGCAGATAGTCAGTGGTTTGAGTCCAGTCTTGGATACTACTCCACAGGAGCTTTCCACCTTGGTTTTTGAAAACAGACCTGAGGCTTTCCAGCTAGGCTGGGCTGCCTGGTGAGTGAGCTCCAGGGATCCATCAGACACTGTCTCTCCAAGACTTATGGCCAACCATATTCACCATTTTTCATGGGAGCTAGGGATAAAATACAGGTCCTCATGCTGGCACATTCAACACTTCAATTACTGAGCTCTGCCCACTGCCCCTGTCACAATACTGAGCATGAGAGCATGATGTATGCATATGTATGTATCCATGTGTGTGTGTGCAACTGTGCTCACATGTATAAGTTTTGGATAGGATCTCTCACTGAACTTGGAGATCTTGGGTTGGACAAAACTAGCTGGCCAGTGGGTTGCCTATCTTTGCCTCTCCAGAGTTAGGATTATAGGTATGTAACACTACTGACTTTTCATATGGGTGAGGGAGATCCAATCTCAGGTCCTCATGCTTGCACCGGTAGTTCATCCACTGAGAACCATAACCCCAGCACATCTCTGTAAATTTAAGAGCCTCTCACGCATTACATATAAAGTAAGTATACCATATATTTCTATAAAGCATATTTTATCATAAAATTGAAATACAAATATTGTTCTATTAATTCTGTAGGACACCAAAAGGTAAAGTCATACTATGCATAGGCTATAGCTACATACACTATTTTGTTTTGTTTTTTTGAGACAGAGTGTCTCTGTGTAGCCCTGGATCTAGCTCTGTAGAGCAGGCTGGCCTTGAACTCAGAGATCCACCTGTCTCTGCCTCCCAAGTGCTGGGATTAAAGGAGTGTGCCACCACCACCCAGCTATTGTAATTTTTTCTATGAGTATATAAAGGAACTCTATGCTACTCTATGGAATGCCCAAAGCCCCTTGGGTCACACTAAGAAATGATCTAATAGGTGAAAAGAGTTCTGATTTATTCCACAAATAGTCTGTTCACCTCTACTTGTCTCTAACAATCAGTAAAACAAGAAAGATAGTAATCAACTTTCAAGTACTACTTTTAATAACAAAAGGTGAAATTTAATTTGCACTCTATCCTTGTTAAACAACAACCCCCAACATCATGAGAATAAAGAAGGTGGAAGTTACACTTTGGCTAAAACATGTCTGTTCAAGTAACTAGTCAAGATGCAGAAAATCTAGATGAGTGCCAGACAGACAAACAAACCAACAGAAACACAAGGTAACTCACTAGCTTGGGCATCCTAAGAAGCCTAGGTAAGAATGTGTGACTCTGCCAGTGACTAAGCATACTCTAAAGAAGAGCAGATAAAGGGGGGAGAAAGAAAAAGAGCAAAAAGAGAAATAGAAGGGAAAGAGATAAAAATAAAAGGGCCCGGGAGGGAAGATTAGGGAGAAAAGTTAGAAACTCAACTGAAGAAGAAATATAGTGGAAACAAATGATTAAGATAGAAAAGTGTTAAAATCCAAAAGATGATAATATAACTTGATTCTCACAATGTAGATTATCTAAGATTTTTCAGCTTATTCAATACTGACACAATCTGACCAAATGTAACACTAGGACAAAGAAATCACAGCCCAGAAGCAGAGTGATGGTATTATAGGTTTTAAACAATAGAGTGATTAAAATGAACAAAATTCAGAACCACTGAGAACTAGAGACTTTTATATAACTTTGGGGGATGGAATATGGCATTTTTTTTAACAATCTGGAAAATTGGTTTCAGGCTACTGCATCTTAAAGCTAAAATTTAAAACTAAATGCCTCATGAAAACAAGTCCATAGATACAACTGAAGACTGAATGGGAATATAACAGAAGGAGGAGGCAACTGGTCTGATAGTATTACCTAGGAATTCTTCAGTTATTTTGCTTCCCCAGGACGCCTTGGCTTCAAATGTTCAGACATCTGCTTCTTAAAGGATCTCATCAAAGGAGTCCTAAAGCCTATCTTTGCTAATAATAAGTTCAGAAAAATAACTGAGATGCCAAAGTGGATAGCCACATGTTTTGGTACAACTAAATATGTAATTAGTTGGAAGAAAATATTACACTTACTCATACCACTGTTTATTGTGTTTTCGGTAAAGCAACGTATCCAAGGCAACAGCATTGACATCCATAGCTCCTGGGGAAGGCCACTGGTTGGTGAGGTGGGCAGTTAACTCTTGTCTTGATCTTAAATCATTATTCTTTAGCACAGTCCTGTGAATATTAAGATGGTGAGTGCTTTTGTCTTTATTCTTTTTTATTCTCTCAATGGCAGGGAACCTAACCAGTACCTAGGCCCCTAAGAAACAGTTTACAATGGTATGTCTACAGACTGAGCAGAAACACCATGGCTGGATGGGACTTGGACTGCTTTTCAGACTTTCTGTGTTGGCTAGAATAAATCACTACTACTGAAAATCAGATGTTCTGTCTTCTCCAATGAGGTGTTGCTAAGGAATTAAAGGATCCATCAGCACTTTAAACCTAAATCAAAAGCAATAGACTATCAGATGCTAGCTAAAATATAAATTCCATGTCTAAGGATCTCCTAGTTCAATAACTCAGAGTAATAATTGAAAGTAATTTAACTCAAGTAAAAAGATAAATCAATTAAAAAGTAGAAATATATGGAATTTAAAAATGCATGCAATAAATACATTTTAAAGAATATTTTTACTTAAAAATTCCTCTACGCATTTCCATTTTATTTTTTAAAATTTTAATTATGTCTGTATGTGTGTGTTTGCATGTGGATGAGCACATGAATACAGTGCATTTTGAAGCCAGAAGAGGGCTTCTGATTCCCTGGAGCTGTCTGATGAGGATGGTGGGAACTCAACTCCGGTCCTCTGCATGGGCAGCACTTGCTGCCTTAACTGCCAAGCCATCTCTGCAGACTCATAAAATTGTTTTCAATAGAAATGACTATTAATAAAGTTTCATGAAAATATGCAATCAGTGTCAAAACTGTACTGAATGCTATAATCAACTGGCAATGTTTTACCATGTTTTTCTTTACTTTCTAAAGAACAGTTACTTGACAGGAACAACTTACGAAAGAATTAAAGTTTTGGCAAAATTTCAATTTACACAAACCAACTGACTATAGTCATGAGACTAATTCAACATTGGAATTGATTAAAGAAAATTTAAAAGCGATGGTCTTACTGTATCTCTAAAACTTTACAGAAAATCTTGGTAGCATGCATTCTCAAACAGGAGCCTATGACCTTTGTGCACTAAGATCATGTCATTATGTCAAGAGCAGGGAAGTGATGGAGGCCTATTACAACCTCCACCCTACTAACTAACCCACAGTCCTGCTCTGGGTGCTGGAGAGGGAACAGTGAGTAGCTGGCAGCACAATCCTACACTAAAGACAAATGGCCAGCATGGTCATCTAAGTGCCAATAGGGGGTCTACATGATAACCATGTTTGCATGTCTCTAATGGGTATATTTCTGATTTCACAGAGCATATGATAACTGTATGTTAAAATACATGTTTCACTGTATACAGAAAGAAACATAATCTAATACACACACTCCATTTTTGTCTCATTAAACTGTCACTGAGAATGAATCTTACTAGGATAATCTTTTTCTTTCTGTCACAATTCTTTTCACTGGAAAAAGACATAAAACTCATTTAAAGTCTTTCTAGGTATTTTAACATTGTTTATTTACTGAAAACAGAATTTTACAGGAATTTTAAGATTGGTAGCAAAAGAAGTAATAAAGATTACTGGCCTGATAATCTATCACAATACATTGCATTATTTGGGTTTTCTTAGTAGATTTTTCTCTATTACGTATTTGCTCCCCTAGGGGTTTTTAGTGAATACCAATGGAAAACTCAACTTCTCTGTCATGGGCGGATCTCAGGCAACATTCCCACCAGTGTGTGAGAAATGAAACTGTTTATCTGTGAATAACTGACACTGGAAGTTTGTTAAGGGTGAGGCACATCACCATTTCAATTTATAAAGCAGTTTCTTTTGTAAAGAGAAGCAACTTTAGATCTCATAAAATAGAACTTATTTCCACAAAGGTTACAACACAACAGTTGTCCAAAACCAAACTTTTGGCTAAACAAAACTTTTGCCTAAAGCCAAATTAAGGAATTATCTTACTTATTTAGTGACTTGTATACAGGGGTATAAGGATAACTTACAGGAGTTGGTTCTCTCCTTCCACCATATGGGTTGTGGGAAATAAACAAAGGTCATCAAGTTTGGCAACAAGTACCTTCACCAACTGACCCATCTCGATGCCCTTAGTATTATCTTTAGACCTTTGTTTGTCCTTAGAAAGCCAATGGTACTTTTTCTACTTGGTCTCTTGAAATGAGATAAGAGACTTCAGTGTGTCAAACAGGCATAGTTTTGGTTCATGTAGTACCTACTAGCCGCTTTTTATGAGAAATGTGTAAACAGGAAATGCTGGCATTTGTCCTACTCCTATGAAGCAAATAAGTCCCTAGAGAATTCTTGCACAGTAAATTGTAGGTAGGTTTCCATTCTCGGGTATACCACAGAACAGGCAAATGAGTTAAGTTGGATTAAAAATTCCATTCCATATTTTAGATATTGACAAGAATCTAATCTGATGAGGAGGGCTATGTATCTATTCAAGCAGTGGGGTTCTGACTAAGATCAGCAGAGAACTTTCCACAGTTCCTACTTTCATCTACCTTTCTTTAGACATACATCTCCATTCTACTATCCCTAAAACTTCCATTAGCTTCCCAGTAAATTTTACTGTTCCCAAGAATTAACTGCAGTTGCTTTCAAACTAAACAATCCCATCATTTCCCTTAAAAATTATAGCAAATTTATAGCAAAACCTATTCAAAGTGAATCAAATAGGATTGGTAAAAAGAAGAGCTTACCCTAAAAGTGACTTTGCCTTAGATTACCAGACAATTGTTCATCATGCTAAATCAGTGACTAAAGATAAATATGCATTATTTCACATTTCACTAAAACAACTAGTGTTGAGATTAACTGGCTAATCTAGATGCAGAAACATTCTAGATGATGGAAATAAACCAACTTATCACTCACACCAAGAGAAAGGTTCAACAGAAAGGTTCACTAAAGACAAATTTTAATCAACTAAGGAATAATAATATATTTATCAGGTAAATTTGAAAACTTTTCTGTGGTATTTCTCTCTAAATTAATAAAAGCTCCTTTCTCTTTGGATTTTTAACAGGCAGTGTCCAGGAATTTCATCCCTAAAAATAACATAATTCAGTCTTGATGAATATAAAGATTAAAAGATCACTAAAGAAAGAACTTCATTCCATGAATTTTAAGCTAGATTTAGACCATCAAGCGTAACCATTCTGACACATCTGATACTAAGCAATGACTTCAAGAGGTGAGTTAGGTTCAAAGCCCCCAGAGGAGGGAAACATACCCCAAATCTAAGTTTACTTAGATTTTACTTACTATTGAAAAGCTATCATCTCCTTGCCTATGTTCTTTAAACACTAATAATATCTCAACTATATTTTAAAAATCCAAATTCTAGGACTGGAGAGATGGCTTGGTGATTAGAAGTACTTCTTCTCCAAGGGACTCAAATTTGTTCCCAGATTGTTCCCACAATCATCTGTAACTCTAGCTCTGAGGGATACAATGCCCTTTTCTGGCCTCTGAGGGCAATACACTCACACAGATACACAAATGCACATAAATAAAAATAAAAAATCTTTTTAAAAATCCAAATTCTATCCATTCCTCAAAATTGATTTCACTTTCTGATTCTCCCATGAAGCTTTTCAGACATCTTACTTGACCACCGTGATGCACGCTAATAAGGTCATTCTCTCTCTTTTACTTTGTTCATTTCTCAGATCATGATGATCTCATTCTTGTAAGTGTTGGCTACCATAAGATTTATGATTCTCTGCCCTAAGGGAGTTAACCGTCTGTGGTTCCAAGTACTCATGAAAGTCCAAAGGGTCCATGACATGAAGCAGTATTTTTTTTACAAGACAGGGTTTCTCTGTGTAGCTGGGCCATCCTGGAACTCACTCTGCAGACCAGGCTGGCTTCGAATTCACAGAGGTCCACCTGCCTCTGCCTTCATAGTGCTGTGATTAAAAGTGTGTGCTACTACCTCCTGGCAACATGAAACAATCTTTAATTATGATAAAACAAAACACTTGAATCATGGAAGTCAAGATGTAAGTTTTAAAGGAGATGCCATGCTTTTGGATTTTCTGACTCTAGAACTATGTTCTTTACAAATTGCAGTTTTGGATATCCTGTTACAGCATCAGAGAATGAACTGAAGACAGCGCTCCAGCAAACCTGAGACTTCCCACCTATTACTTGTCTAATGTGCCACAATTCTTGGTGTATTCAAGTTCTCTGAGATATGGGCTGTAACCTTTATGAAATTTAAGAATATATTAACAACTATACTAATGCAAACTTTTATGCATTTAATGCAGGGCATCTTGGTAAGAAAACTGAAGTTCAAAGAAAGAGAAAGTCACTAAAGATAAAGTAACTACACTAGAAATTACTGCTACAGAAGGGAAGTAGAACCATCTTCCAGATAGTACTAGATTACTGTTAGTCACTGCTCTGAACCAAGGTAGCACTGTGAAAGGCAGAGTTAGTTTTACTTGCTCTTCCATTATCAGCACCTGGAACTTGGCCTGGCTTATCATATTATTTTCAATTGATGCTTACCAAATGAATGCAAGAGCATTTAAAAAGGCAAACATTAAGTACAAGCAAGAATAATGAGAATTAGTATAGCTTTAGCCATGGAATGTTTTATAGAAACCAAAGAGCTCCAATCAGTAAAATTCTTCATATACAATTCTAGCCAGTAGGTATTGAAGGAATAACGATGAGGTAGCACCACTGTATAAAACCCAAATAATCAATGAATGAACTGCTCTAGGTATTGCTCATCTTTGGCTTAAGCCATCTGATGAAAGACTGGCATGAACTTTCATAAAGAGAAGTCAGTTGTCACTATCTGAATCCAGTGTTCATTTGTATGATTATTGTGCCTCCCAAAATGCCATGAAATGAACTGAAGTACATACTACCTCTAAGATATTCTTGTCCAAAGAGCTCAATTAAAATTTACACAAGCCCCTTGAGAGCAATTTTCTGCTCCAAACACATATCAGAAATTCCAGGGAAGCATTTTTAGTATACATTTGCCTGGGTTTTACTTCTCACC